AAAAAGAGGTTGAGAAGTTAGAGGGTTGACATGTTGTGGGGTTGTTAACCAATGTCATAAAACAACATGTGTACTTCTGTTTCATGAGAAACTATTTGTTCTGTAAGCCTTCACCTGAAGTAAATAAAAAAAAAGAAAAATCTCTACCAAGATTAAGAAGGACGAGAACAAATTATCAATATTCAGAACGAGAAAGGCAGTATCAGTTTTTTCAGATGTTAAAAAGAAAACTGACATTTTTAATTTTTAAATAAAGACATTCAAGACCTTTACAATTAAAACATTAATGAAACAAATTAAAGATACAGACTATAAACAACTTTACATCAACAAATTTGGAAAGTTATGGACAGGTATGATTTAATCAAAAGTAACAAAGAATAAATTTAAAAGTCCTTTGTCTATGTATATGTTTGGAATAATTCACTACTGAAACCATCTTACAAAAGCTTCCCATGAAGAAAACCTAAAGACAGTTTCACTGGTGTATTATTTTAAATATATAAGGAATAGATAATTCAAATTTATGTGAAGTCTTTCAAAAGTTTCCAACTCTTTTCGAGGCCAGCATAAATTTCATACAAAAAATAGACAAGCTTATCATGAGAAATGAAATTACAACTTCTCATTAGCATTGGCACAGACGTAATATTTTAAAACTAGCATATTGGATCTAGTAATATGAAAAGGCTAATATGTCTTAAGTGTGGTTTGATTCCAGGAATCATACTGTTTTATCATTTGAAAATCAAGAAATATACTGACTTACGACTTAAAAAAAGGATCTTTTAAAAAATATATATGTAGAAAAAGCACTGAATAAAAATTCAGTAACCATTCATGATAAGAAGAAATCTTGCCAATCTAGGAATAAAACTGTATTTCCTTAATCTAATAAAGGTATCCCTGAAAACCTTACTGTTAGTATTATTCTTAACGGTGAAATATTAAAACACTTTCCCAAGATTGGGAACAAGGGAAGGACTTCCATTTTCATCATTTCTATCAGTCAGGGTTTTCCCAAAAAATAGATAGAGAGAAATAATATATACATAGGTACAGAGAGAGACTAACTGAATGACTTAAGGAATTGGTTGGTGCAACTGTGGGGTGGCAAGCCCAGTATCAATAGGTTGAAGAACAGGCCGGAAACTCCAGCAATCTTGGGTTCAAAATGCATAGGTTAGGTGACAGGCTGGAAACTCTGGCAACTGTGGGTCTGAAATTGGTAAGTCAGGTGGTGGGTTGGAAACACTGGCAGGATATATATGTTATAGCCTTGAGGCAGAATTCCTCTTCCCTTGGGAAATCTGTTTTTGTTCTTCAGGCTTTCAACTGATTGGATGAGGCCTACCTTCATTGTGGAGTGTAATGCACTTCACTCAAGATCAATTGATGTAAATGTTAACCACGTGTAAATACCTTTATGGTAACATCTAGACTAGTGTTTGACCAAAAACAACTGGGCAACAGTACCTAGGCAAGCTGATGCATAAAATTAACCATTACGCTATCCATCACTGTAAAGCAATAAGACAAAAAAGATAAAGTTCAGAAATTAAAAACATTCTTTTATTGATATTGACATGATTGTACACATAGAAAATCCAAAATAATCCACAAACTATCTGAATAATTGATTGAATTTGTAAATATCACTGGCTATAAGGTCAAGTACAAAACAAAATTGCAATTCTATATACTAGCCAAAACTGAAAAAGGAAATTAATAAATTAACAATATTTACAAAGTAACACATACCAGAAATAAACAAAGACATTCAAGACCCCTACAATTAAAACTATAAAACACTGATAAACGAAATTGAAGACCTAGGTAAATAAATGAACCTAGGTAAACGTTCAGCAGCTGGAAGACTCACTATCACAAAGATGTTAATTTTCCTCAAAATGTTCTATTTTAAAAGCAGTGTGATTCCAGTCGTAGATTTTTAAAAACTGATGAAATACTATAATTAGTATAGAAATCAGTGGAAAGTAGAGAAGACAAGACAATCTTGAAGAATAAAAAAGTTGGAAGGCTCTCATTACCTGATTCCCAAAAATACAGTAAAGCAACATAAATTAAGATAGTGCAGTATTGGTACAAGAAAAAAATGAACCAGGTACAAAGATTTCACAGAGGTGAAAACATGGTCTATTTGATACATTATTCTGATCAACAGAAGATACACACACAGACCCTGATCCCACCTTGTAGCATATAAATAAATTATTCAAATAGATCACAGATCTAAATATAGAAGATTAAACAATAGAGTCTGGGGGGGAAAAACAGGAAAATACATTATCTTGGCCTGAGCAAATATTTCTTAAGCAGGACTCAGATCTCCACTTGATTTTTATGTTTATTAAAGATTGAGAAGCAATCTTTAGCAATTTAAAAACATGCTATCATATGGTGCTTGACTTGAGAGGATTTCTAGGAACTGCCTAGCTCTTGCTGACTTCTCAGAACTCCTAGTTCCCTCCCACTGCTAAGACCAGCTAGCACAAGCTAGCTGACAATATTAGCTCAATTTCTAGATCCCAGCTGCAAGTTCAATCCACCTGCCCACTGTTGCCTCCTCCCCTCTTTATGTGCATCACAACTGTCCAGACTCTGACAGACTCCAACTCGTTTCTAGATAAGCATGCGAGCTAGTCCTAAATCAGTATCCTATTCTTCCTGGCCAGTGATTGGATCTTGGTTGGCAAGTGAGCCAATCAGAGCCATTATGATTCAATGCTGATAATTATACTGGAACAGCTCAGAAAGATCATTCTCTTCTCCCCAAGACTTCAACCCAGGAAGAGAGCAGCCTAGAGCTTCTGGGGTCCGCTATGAAGAGAAACAGCCTGCTTAGGAGAAAAGTCAATACAGGAGGATGCACAGCTAAGATATGGTGACAGACCTCATCCAGATAACATCTTTTTAGCCCCAGGATCCAGCCATGTCTGCAGTTACTTATACCCAAAAACTTTTCAGTAACCGAACTAGTAAATTCCCTTTATAGCTTACAAAGATGAAAGGAGTGGAAAGACAAGGTAGAAATGGGCAGTTATTTGTAATGTATGTGTATGTATAACATTCATATTACATGTATCTATAATATATAATACATTGTTTATATATGTATGTATATATAGTGGTATACACACATACATAATATATATATATTTCTGTTTATATATACATATACATACGATAAATGGCATGTAACCAGAAGGAAGCCCTTCCAATCAAACCAAAAAATGAACAAAATGCCTGAACAGGTACCCTCATAGAAGAGATCTAAATGGCCAACAAGCATGTGAAAAAGTAGTCAGCATCATTATGTATCAGGCAAATGCAAATTAAGACTGAAAACAAAATATAACCATATCCTCTGCTCAGTGACTGACATTATAAAGTGTTGGCAAGGTATATGGAACTAGAACTCTCATACATTGCTTTTGGGACTATAGGTTGAACCAATCTTTTTGAAAAACTGAAGACCTACCATAATTAAACATAAAGCCCACCCTATGATTCAGTAGCCTCATTCCTACATATATACCAAGAGAAATGGGTGCATAAGCCTACCAAAAAGTTATTAAAAGACAAACTAGTGACAAATGCAGCAGATGAATTTCAGACACTTGAGAAAAAAAAAAGCCAAACACAAAACTATACCTATTTAACATTTACATGAAGATGAAAAACAAGAAAACCTAACCTAATCAAGTACAATATGAGTCAGAATTGTTGCTGTTTCTGTGGGATAATTACTGAGAAGAGATATGAATGAACTTTCTGGAGTCCTGGAAATGTTCTGTTTATCAGGGTACACATATGTGAAATTTCATCAAGCTGGCCACTTTAAGATTAGCACACTTCATGCACGAGTTAGTGTATGTATACCTTAATAACAAAGTAGACATTGATGAAAGAAGTGATACAGGTATACTTTTAGAGAAAAAGGGAAAATACAACAGAAGGACAGAGGGTAGCTAAATGTACCTGAAGAACCTCAAACCAAGTATCTTTTATCTTCTCAGATGAAAAGGCAGTAAAACCTTCCAGGTTTGAAGGTGTCAAATACAAAGCCTTCTCCACTAAAATGGGATAACACCTCTGTGTAACGCTTACCTCAATTATGCCTAGGATAATTTTCCTGTCACTGTCCATAGCTCTTCTTGCTTTTACAAGATCAGAGTAGACTTGCTGCACAGATGTGTATTTCCCCATGAGCAGGATGACAACCTTGCCCCAAAATGGGTCCAACTCTGTATTTGGTTGATGTGCCAGAGAGACTGTAGTATCAGCAAAACGATAATGAGCTTGCCAGAAAATCAAAAAAGATATGTTGGGGAAGATGGAGATGTCTATGGAGCTGTCACCACTAACTGAAAGGCCCTTAATATTGTTCTAAACCAGTCAGTATTCATGTGGGTCTAATAATCAGGAAAATGAGCTGGAAACTGGAGTCCACAGGCCCCTATGCATCTGTCCCCCTGTATGATGAATTCACTAAACCGAAAGTAATAGCTCCTCCCCTTATGTCTTCTAAATCTCTTGCAAGCTCCGCTAAACAACTTTAACCAGGAGCCCAACAAAGAAGTAATTCTGGGAAATATAGTCCCCAGCCACACCAAAGTTAACTTCTAGCTTTCATCTTCATGTCACAACACCTTTTTTAACTCAAAACATTGGGTCCAATTCTCAGAAAGAACGAAGGACAAAATACAAAAACTGCACATCAGTTAAGACCATCCTCTTCCAAGAGCTTTGTACACTTACTTCTGCTGAATTTACTTAATTGAACAGGAAAGTCTTTTAAGAGTAAAATCTGATAGCCAAAAAAAAGGTAGGTAAATATTGGGAAAGCAATTTCCAATATCTGGCACAGTGAACCAAAAAGAAATTCCCCCAAAATATCTATGTGTCAGTACCATAATGACTTCATGCTTAGAAAATAATGGAAATTAAAACCAATGTTTAAAATCACCACTCTTACTTGCATATATGTTTAAAAAAAAAAAAAAAAACCACATCCTCCACAGGTCCAAAAGAGTTTGTAAGGGAATACAATATTTCTAACTTCAACCATGATAAAAAAACGCCTCATATTAAAACGTAGCTAGAGCTAAAAAGGTATTAGCGGGAAACCTATCACCTTATATAGTCATGTCAGAAAATAAAAGCTAGAAAATTAGAGCTAGTAGTCCATTTTAAAAACACTGATAAAGATATTTAAGACTTCACTTCCAATCTGAATTCTATTATGCATAAGTGATGTTCATAAAAGCTTTCCCACATGACTTCCATACACAGGTGGTCTGAATTCTCAAAACGTTTAAAAAGGATGGGCAACAACTGATAACTTTCCTTATTTTCATAGGGTGTCTCCAGAGAATGGTATCTCCTGTTGTCTAACATTTGAAAAAAATCTTATAGACATTCCCATATTCCTCACGGTCATATGTTTTCTCTACTGTGAGTTTTCACATGCCTTCGAAAGTAGGCAGGACAAACAAAGGCTTTTCCACATTCCTTACATTCATATGGTTTCTCTCCAGTGTGGCTTCTTACATGTCTTCGAAAGGATGAGGGACAACTGAAGGCTTTCCCACATTCAAGGCATTCAAATGGTTTCTCTCCAGTGTGCATTCTTGCATGTACAGTCAGGTATGAAGAATGACGGAAGGCTTTCCCACATTCCTTACATTCATAGGGTTTCTCCCCAGTGTGTGTTCGCATATGAATCCTAAGAGCTGAGGGATAAATAAAGCCTTTTCCACATTTCTTACATTCGTAAGGTTTCTCTCCAGTATGAGTTCTTATATGTACTGTAAGATGCGAGGAACTAATAAAGGCTTTTCCACATTCCTTACATTCGTAAGGCTTCTCTCCACTGTGCGTTCTTAAGTGTTCAGTAAGTGATGAGGAACGACTAAAGACTTTCCCACATTCCTTACATTCATATTGTATTTTTCCAGTGTGATCTCTCACGTGCGCTCTAAAGGATGAGGGACAACTAAAAGCTTTCCCACATTCCTTGCATTCATAGGGTTTCTCTCTACTTTGATTTTTCACATGTGTATTAAGGGAAGTAGGAAGATAGAAGGCTTTTCCACATTCCAGACATTCATAGGGTTTTTCTCCCGTGTGTTTTCTCATATGGATACTCAAGGAGGAGGGACAATTGTAGGCTTTTCCACATTCCTTACATTTATAGGGTTTCTCTCCAGTATGTGTTCTCACATGTACAGTGAGTTTTGATGACTCACTGAAGGCCTTACCACACTCCTTACATTCATAAGGCTTCTCTCCAGTGTGAATTCTTATATGTATTATAAGGTGGGAGGAAGAACTAAAGGCTTTCCCACATACCTTACATTCATATGGCTTATCTCCACTGTGAATTCTTTTGTGTTTAGAGAGGGAAGAGGAACAACTAAAGGCCTTCCCACATTCTTTACATTCATAAGGCTTATCTCCACTATGAATTCTTTTGTGTTCTGTGAGGGATGAGGAACAACTAAAGGCTTTCCCACATTCCTTACATTCATACTTTATCTTTGCAGTATGACTCTTCACATGTGTCCTAAAGGATGAGGAACAATTAAAGGCTTTGGTGCATTCCTTACATTCATAAGGTTTCTCTTCAATGAGAGTTTTCACATGTTTCTTAAAAGAAGCAAGAAAATGGAAAGCTTTTCCACATTCCTCACACTGATAGGGTTTGCTTCCAGTGTGAGACCTAATGTGACTCTTAAGGGATGAATGATCCACGAAGGCTTTTCCACACTCACAGCATTCATACGGTTTTACTCCAGTAGTTTTCTTGACCACATTAAGATTTGGAATTTGGCTGAGGGCTTGTCCATACTGATTTCCTTCATTACATTCATAGATTCTCTTCACCACATGACTTCTTTTAAAAATAAAAGCACATTATTAGTAATAAATTTTTACCATTTTCAGTAAATGTGTGTATTTTCTTTCCTGTCAAGTTATAAGCTGAAAGTTCTCAGAGGGCTCTGCCATAGTCAATAATGTTACGAACTTTCTGACTTACAGAATTTTTCTGATAACTGTTTGCAAGAAAATTAAGTGTCAAACACTCAATATCTCAGTCACATTTTTGGACACGTTATCTTGTGAAAATTCTGGTGACATCACAATTTTTGACCTAGATTTATATATTTATGTATTTTTCAATTCATGACACTTAAAAGATTCTCTCCTAAAACACTACTTTATCTTATACGAATGCCACTCACCTCAAATGTCTCTCTTGGTCACTGTTCTGATAATCAATACCATGGAATTCTTGGTTTTCATGTAAATTGGAGGACCAGGAATCATTCCTTTTGAATCTTACTTTGGATATTTTTTCTCCAAAAATATCTTGCTGAGCAATTGATTCACTAGTTTTAAGTTGAGTCTCAAAGCCTGAAACAAAAAAGTAAAGGTACATGAGAGCAAAAGACTTTTAGGAGTTTGGTTGTTTCATGACTTTGGCACAACGGTCAAAATGGTAACCAATTTGCTAAGAAATAATTGCATAAGACTGAGATTGATGAGAACATAAAGAGGATATAATTAGGAGAGCAAAGAAGAAAGAAATTGGATACAATGCACATGACCAAATGCTAACTTTCAAAAAAGGAATACGGAAGGTCTTTCCCAAAAACAAGGGAAGTGTGAGATGACTGATAATAAGTCTAAGGTAATCCAAGGTATCTACAGAAGATCAGCCTCCTCAGACAAAAAGCAGTTTTTGTTTTTTTAATTTGATTTTTTCAAATGTAACTAGTTTGATTAGTTTATCCCCAACCAGGACAGTTTTCCTCCTGAGGATTCTTGCCTTCCTGGTGCTCCCCTGTACAGGTGTCCTGGATAAGTCCCCTCTTCACTATCTTCAGGTCCTCTTGTTCCCACTGAGAGATCAGATGCGGTATGTGTAACGGGTACCCTGCTAATGCAGAAAGGCATATCATGAGGGAAAACAATGAAGAACCACAAACATTTCCATGAGACAAGGCCAAAACTTTAGTCTTCAGATGGCAAGCGGGAGTTTAACTGAAGCAAAATATTTGTCAAATTTATTTCAAAAATGCAGTGATAAAAATAAAAAGCAGCCTCTTGACATCAAAACTGATCTGATGTTCACAGATAATTCTCAACACTTACTACAAGCTGGACATTTTGTTCTCCTGTCGAACATCAACAACCTCACAGAATACCAACCTCAGACAAGATTACTCTAAGGCCATGGTAAAATAAAACAATGCCACTTCATAATTTTGTCTAAGTAGCATAAAAGGTCACTGTGCCACCCACAAAATAGCAATCATAGAATTGTTAGTTTAATACATAGATGTTTATTTTTATGGTGAAACTACTAGGCTGTAAGCTCTCTGAGATCAGTGACTATGTCTCTTATTTACCAATGCATTCCTATTTCTTAGCCAAAATCCTGGAACAGGGTTGATTTGTAAGATAAAATTGCTTCCTAAACAACTAAATGAAGGAATGTTGCTATTCTTACCTAGTGAGGCAAGGTTCTGGAAGTTTTCCAGCATCACATCTCTGTAGAGGTTCCTCTGAGCAAGATCCAACAAAGCCCACTCCTCTTGAGTAAAGTCCACAGCCACATCCTCAAAGACCACTGAGTCCTGAAACATCCCATATATTCTGGTTCAGCAAAGCACCAACTCCCCTAATGTGTGCAGGAGAATGGGTGTGGCTGACAGCACCAGGGAACTGAGAATCAATTCACAGGAAGTTCAGAAGGTTCTGTGGTCTCCCAACATCTACTTTAAAACTCAGTCATCAAAGCTCTTTCCTTTTCTAGCCACACATATACCCTGACTGATCAAATCTTATCTCACAGATTTAACAACACTTCTAATACAGCAGATTTTTCTCTCCAGTCTGACAGTGACCAATTCAAGTCTTATTCCTATTTTCATGGCGTAGAACAGTCCAGGATACACAGCAGAAATGAGAACTGCCGTATAAATGAAATCATTTCCACACTGACACCATTAATTCCTTGTTACAAAACAATTTCACCTGTCTCCTTAGTGCCCACTGTTATAGACTGAATTGTGCCCCGCCCCCCCCCCAAAAAATGTGTTGGAATCCTAATCTCTACACCTGTGAATGTAATCCCATTTAGGAATAGGTTCTTCTTTATTACGTTAATGAAGCCATATCAGTGTACAGTGTCTTAAACCTAATGACTTTTGAGATGTAAAAAGAGCACAGAGAAGCAAGCAAAAACTGAGCAAAGAGAGATATCACATGGAGATCACTGGGAGGAACACTGGGGTTAGAGAAGCTGAGATAAGGACTTTCCCCAGAGCTGACACAGAGAGAGCTTTCCCTACAGCCGATGCCCTGAATTCAGACTTCCAGCTTCCTACACTGTGAGAAAATAAATTTCTGTTCTTTAAAACCCCCTACTAGTGATATGTCTGCTACAGCAGCACTAAGTTTAAGATACCCACCGCAGCAATCAGCACAGCATGAGGCACAGGGTCAAGTCTAGTCTGAGTGAATGAAAACACTGAGCAACTGGGAGCTTTTCCTTTTTCCCCCTCATCAAACCTGAGAGGCCCAGAAGCATGGAGAAGCACAACTTTCAACCCTAGGCCAGAGGTCAGCAAACTACAACCCATGGGCTAAAACCACCTGCAACCAGTTTCTGTCAATAAAAGTTTTATTGTAACACAATAAAACGTTTGTTTATGTACTATGACTGCTTTTGCATTAGAATGGCAGAATTGAGTTGCAATAGAAACTGCATAGTCTTCAAAGCCTAAATAACTTTAATTATCTGGCCCTATACAGATGCAGAGTGGTTAAGCGCTTGGTTGCTAACCGAAAAGTCAGTGGTTTGAACCCTCCATCCTCTCTGCAGGAGAAAGATGTGACAGTCTGCTTCCATAAAGGTTACAGCCTAGGAAACCTTACAGGGTAGTTCTAGCCTGTCCTATAGAGTCGCTATGCATCAGAATCAACTCAACGGCAATGGGTTAGTTTTTGGGATATAAGACACAGGTTGCTGACCTCTACTCTAGACAATTAGAAGGAGATAGATGACCTGGTAGAATGAAAATACTCTTTTGAAGAATAATTACTAACTTTTACTTACCTGTGTCATATTTTTCGGTAAGTCAGAAGCTATTCTTTCTTTCTCCATGTCCTTTTTATGAAGAAAGGCAAGACATTGAGAAGTTAGTGCTGAGACAGGAAAAGACAAGAGAATCTAGACCTTCCCACAATTACCACATTCACAAGCCTGAATGCTGCAGCACACCAATTTTTAGTGACCACTCCCCTCAAAACACACACACAAACAAGATACCCACACAAACATACACAGAAGCTGGAGCAACCTTGTCTCCCGAGAGGTAGAATGTTCTTGTCCCTGCTGATCATAAAGAAGAGGTTAAGAGTCCCAATTTGTAAGTTACAACTGAAGTCTAAAAACGTTTAGCTATTAATTTGCCCATGATAATGAAATGCATAAAAAGTTATCAGTCAGTACCTTCAAACATTTCCCCGTCTCAAATCCAAGAAAGCAATGACTTATACACCAGGCTTCTGGGGATTCCATTCCCAATTATTTCTTACTTCTGCACCCCCTGGCAGGTAAACAGTCCCTCACTACTGGAATCTCCTATAGACTGCAGGATTCCCAGAAATCCAGCCTCTGAGAAAGAGCATTAAGCCACTGAACACCACATGGAGGGAACAGAGATTGCCATGCTGTGATTCTCATACTAAAATTTGTCTGGATAGTACAGCAGCAGCAAAACAAGAATACATAAAGTTGGCATCTTGTATCGTATCTGATACTGTAGTTATCTGCAGAGCTGTTTAACAAATTTCGAAGAACTCAACAGTTTCTTCCACTGCAGTAGATCAAGCAGTGTATTTTAAGCCAATAAAAAAGTAAGATTCTTTACTATATTAACAAAACATGCCATTTATTTAGCAACTATGTGAGAAAGACTTTGCAAAGATACCTCATGTATTTATTTTAGAAACTCTGCAAATCAGGTATTATTATGACTAGTTTATAGATGAGGAATCTTAGAAACAAAGTCAATTAACCACGTGCTCAATATTACCCAATTAGAAAGTTCCTGAGGCAGGGTATGAACGCAGGTCTATTTGCCTTCAAACCCTAAACCCCTAACTAGTATATTTCTGAACATATGCCTTATAATTGTTATTAAGGCCCTTATTCCCCAACATTACCAAGATTTATTTAGAACCCTGCTGGGCACTATGGAAAGCAGATAAATGAAGTAAATGTATCTTTGCATGCTCTTTCTCCTTTAAGGCCCTTATCTCCTGCTCCTTTATTTCATAAATTTATCTTAGGCAATATTTAGCCCAACCCTACTACATATGAATGGAGGGGATACGGTACTGAACAAAACAGAAAAACCCTGAAGTGTGTGGATGTTACAATTGGGGTGGGAGGAGGATAGTAAATAAATGAAATAATATATCAGGTGGTAGCATATGCAACACATAAAAATGCAACACATTAAAGGGAAAAGGCAACATTTATCTTTAGAAAGTCAAGACTGGTTATATCCCAGGGTACAGGCAAGAAATTAAAATAGCTGCTTCAGACAACACTGGAAAGCAATATCTGGTTGGCTATCTTTAATTGTATATAAACATCATCAACTCCCAGAGAAGGAAAAAAAAAATCAGCATCAAGAGGCTAAACATTGATTTCTGAGGTTGGAGAAAGAACAGCAGCATAAAGATTAGAGATAAAAATGAAAATAAAGACATTAACGTTTTTAGAAAATCGAAAGTTACAAATTTACCTTTGAACACTAATGAAACTGACAAACCCTTAGCAACTTTCCTTTGAGAGAAACAAAGCATAGACAAAGATAGTTATGAATGGAAATGAGTCATAATTACAGATGCTAAAGGGAAAATATTGCAAAAAAAATTAAGAGAATTTACAGGTAATAGATAAAGAAGTACAACTTTCCAGTAATAATCTAAAATAAATACAAAGCAATCAGCAGATACAGATTTGGTGGTAGAAATTTCTGAATACATGACTCTAGGTGCTCCTCATACATTAATATGGACAACAGAGCACACAAGTGGCACAGTAAGGGAAATCTCTTAGACATAACTAAACACCTCACGGAATGAAGTTCTCAGGCTCTAAGGCAAAGGACTATAGACTCGGGGGGCATCTACGTCAACTGGCACAAAATAGTTCTTAAAGACAATGCTCTACATCCTACTCGGTGAGTAGCGTCTGAGGTCTTAAAAGCTTGTGAGCAGTCATCTAGCTGGGAGCAAAGGAATGAAAAAAACTAAAGATGCAAAGGAGCAATTAGTCCAAAGGGCTAACAGACCACATGAACCACAGCCCACACGACCCTGAGACCAGAAGAACTAGATGGTGCCCAACTACCACAACTGATCCCTCTGACTGGGATTACAACAGAGGATCCTGGATAGAGCAGAAGAAAAATGTAGAAAGATCAAATTCACGAAAAAGACCAGACTTACTGGTCTGACAGAGGCTGGAGGAAGCCCCAAGACTATGCTCCCGGACACCCTTCCAACTCAGAATTGAAGCCACTCCCAAAGTTCACCTTTCAGTCAAAGATTCGGCAGGTCTTTAAAACACGTGAGAAACGTGCTTCTTAGATCAATCAAGTACATGAGCTCAAATGGGCAACACCTGCCCAAAAACAAAGATGAGAAAGCGAGAAGGGACAGGAAAACCAGACGAATGGAACTGGGGAACCCAGGGTAGAAAGAGAAAGGAGGAGAATGCTGACGCAATGTGGGACTGCAACCCATGTCTTGAAACAATTTGTGTATAAATTTTTGAATAAGAAACTAATTTGCTCTGTAAACTTTCACCTAAAGCATGATAAAAAAATAAATACAAACCCTGATTATATCCAGTCAGTAAAAAAAAAAATCAGTAGTTTAAAACATCCCCACCGAACACAAGTTTCAAATTGTTTTACAGGCAGGTTTACCAAATATGTAAGGGCTTGATAATGCCAATGTAGGGGAAAAAAAACTTTTTCAAAATATTTCCAAGACCAGAAAAGTACAACTCAAAACAATAAGATCTTGTTCATATACACAAAAAATGTTAGCACACTAAACAGAGAAATAGAGGATAGTAAATCATAAGTTCATTTCAACCTAGGAATGCAAGATTAGTTAAAAAATTTAATCATTAATATGATTCACATTAATATCATGACTCACCTCCTTAGATCAAAAACAGACTATTTCAATATGCACTGGTGATAATAATTTAACCCACTAGGACTAGAACGGAACAGGCTTAATTAGGGGAAAAAAAATCTGCAAACATCATATTTAATGGTAAAACACTTCCCTTATAGATCAAGAATAAGGCAAGGTGGCAAATTATACGCTATTCTTCATTGAATTGGAGGTCCTGTCTACTGCAATAGGAAATTAAAAGAAATAAAAATTAAAAAGGTGAAGCGTTATTACTGACAGAAGTTCAAATTTTCTGTGTGAGATTCAAAGAATCCACAGATAAATTATTAAAATTTACAACTGTATTGGAAAGGAGGTGGGTAAAAAAGATACGTAAAAATCAGTTCACTTTTATGCACCTGAATATAATGTATCAAACTGATGCCCACCAAAAAACCAAACCAAGTTCACTGCTGTGGAATTGATTCCGACTAATACCGACCCTACAGGACAGAGTAGAACTGCCCCATAGGCTTTCCAAGGCTGTAATCTTTATGGAAGCAGACTGCTACATTTTTCTTCCCCGGAGCGGCTGGTGGGTTCCAACTACAGACCTTTTAGTTAGCAGCTGAGCGCTTAACCATTCCGCTACCAGGGCTCCTAGAGTTAAATTCACAGATTAAATAATATCTCTTGCATAAAGAGGGGAGGTAGGGACCAAGTTGCCGCAAATTTCACTCAGCGCTCACCGCACACTCCGAAACCAGACATCAGCGCAGAGAGGACGTATCCCCGTTACCGGAATGGCAGAGATGCTTCTCTTTTCTGGAAAGAGAGCAAAGGTTGCTTTTGGAAACCGATCGAACAGGTCGGTGTTCTCCAACTCTCAGCCTGCCTCAGAATCACCCGATTGCTGGACCCAACCCAGAGTTCCCGATTCAGTGAGTCTGAGGCTCTCGGAGGAGGCGCCCCGGTGGCTGGAGGCCCCGGGAGCCTGCCGGGCCGGAGGAGGGGACTCGGCTCTGAAGCTGCCGCGGAAACAGGGCCTGTCCGCGGGGCCAGGTCGGCGGTCCTTGGACCACCGACCCCCAAGGCCGAGCCCTCTGCCTCCTGCGGACCGGACTTTAGGTTAGAATGGTCGGACGCCAACTAAGAGCAAAATTTACCTCAGACGCGGGCGGGGGCGAGAAGCAAGATGGCCGCCGATTCGCGCACGCTCAGACGCGCACTTCCGCTTATGGTTTCTGCGCCGCGATTGCATAAGGGGCGGGCCGCTAGAGTGTGTGGTGACTTCTTCCAGCCGCGAGCCCAGGAGATATGCTAGACGTGGTTGGACCCTGGGGCCAGATCTGCGCAGGGCTATAGGAGAGGGGAGGAAGAATGAGAACCGTGAACGGGCTGGGGAGTAACCAGGACAGGGAGCCGGTGAATTTGGTTCACCAGGCGTGTGGGGCGGGGCCAAGCGTAGGGGCGGGAACCTCCCCCCCCCCCCCCGCCACCAAGGATTAAAAACGCAGACGAGTGTGTTTCAGAGTTGAACTGTGCTCTATAGGGTTTTCGTCGCTGAGACCTGAAACAGATCACCAGGCCTTTGTTCTGAGTGGCCTCTGGGTGGAATCAAACAGCCAGTCTTTCTGTTAGTAGTTTGAGTCCTTAACCTTTTGTGGGATTTGGTTGAAAAACCCTAGGGGGCTGGACCAGGCCTAGTGGCCTTACTTACTTAAATAATTCTGGAGGGCTGGCTGAGATGGTCCAGAGCTGGGGGCCAGGGCTAGGGTTAGGGCCTCCCATCCAGGCCCCAAGGAGCCTGTTGGCAGTGGTTAAGTGCTGGGCTGCTAGGCTGGTGAACAAACGGTGGGTGGTTCTGACCCACCGGCTGCTCCAGGGAAGAAAGATGTGGCAGTCTGCTTCCTAAAAATTATAGCCTTGGACACCCTATGGGGGCAGTTCTAATCTGTTCTATAGGGTCACTATGAGAATCAGCTCCACCAACGGATTTAGTTTGGTTTGGTAACCTAGGCCTTCTTGGGCCAGTGAATAGGATGTTATCAACGGCATTTATTCCCCCCTCTTCCACACTGGGGTCCCCGGATGGCACCTCAGCTGCTAATGAAAGGTAGGAGGTTTGGTCCACCCAGAGGCACGTTGGAAGAAAGGCCTGGCAAGTCTACTTCTAAGACATCAGTCACTGAAAACCCTGTGGAGCACATTTCTACTCAGACACACATGGGGACTCCATGAGTTGAGGTCAACTGGAAGACAACTGGTTACTGGTTCTCCACATTCGTACATCCCTCTATACAGGGCACACATAACTCAGCCTGACAATCCATGACATAGACTCTCCCATTCATTCAGTCCCCTCTTTAGGCCTTCCTTTTTCCTTTGGTGTAGAGGAAGGCTATTGATAATTATAGGTCTTTTTACCTAGAAACCTTGCTGAACTCTAACAGTTGTTCATTCATTATCTTAAACTTACAGTATAAATAATATTTTCTGTACTTTTTTTTATTGTACTTTAATTATAATTCATTTATTTTCATGTTATTTGAGCAGGGTCTCCCAAACTATGGAAGGTTGGAAAGAAATGAAGCATTCAAGTCTTGGTCAGTCCTGATTCTCAAAGTTCCCCAGTAAGCGTGTTTGCTGTAATTACCCTGTGTGTGAAGTGTCATTCAAGGTCTTTGGAGCAAACATACCTTGGGCAAATAAGAAATGCTGTTTTTAAAAAGGGAGCTGGAAGATACTTAATTGGGTTTTCTAGCCCATATGTATTTGTGTCTCACATTTTAGCCTATGACGTAGGGTAATCATGTTTTCTAAACAAAATGGTTCCGAGGAGTTTTTAACTGTTTCCCTAAGAGCAATAGCAGCCCTGGGAGCTATTTAGCTTTGAAGTATAGGTAGTCCCCAACTTATGACCTATTTGAGTTATGTTAAGCTGCACTTACGAGCGTCTTTTTTTTTCCACATCTTTTCACTAGTAATATGTACAACATACGATGTTGCAGTACGTAATTTGCTGATGGTATCATTCTCAGATATTCACTCACAGATGTTCACTGTTATGATTTATAAAGATACTGATAATAAAAGGCAGTAATAATGAAAAGGAAAAAGGAAAAATGAGGTATTCGACTTACATCAGAACCAACTTACCACGGAATCGTCCAAACGGAACTCTGTCATAAATCAAGGACTACCTGTACTAGAATTCTCAGTGGTTTTGGTATTTGAAATGAGACTGGGAATCTGGACTATATATAGTCACTAATAGTTCACTTCTAGAAGTACGAAAAATTGGCAAAATTTTGTTTTACCAAGTGCTTCGAATCAACTCTTAATAAACTATGGGTTTTGAAGAAGTAAGTTGGGTAAATTGGCATGTAGTTAAGTATTAAGTAGTTAACCCTAATCACCTGAGTAAAACAAAGTGTGGTAGTTTTTGGTTTTTTTGCTTGTTGCATATCTATGGCAAATTAGACAAATCCTGGTATAAAAAATTGCTTAGTATCACTGCTTGGGTTTCAGTCATGACAAATTGAGCTACAATTTTGGTATATCTCCTTTTCACTTCTATGCCTGTTAGCCATAGCTAGTGTGGAAGAACAGAATTGTAAATTTTAATCTCCAGTTCTATCCTACCTGGTCCTAGAGACTAACATTCCAGAGATTAGGCAGAGACAGCAGTTTAACATCTTATTTTGTCAGTTTTTACCTAATCATGTCGGGCAGTGTGGTAGTGGTGTGTGCCGTTGAGTCAATTTTCAACTCATAGTGACTCCACATGACAGAGTAGTACTGCCTCATAGGGTTTTCTTGGCTGTAATCTTTAGAAGCAGATCTCTAGGTCTTTCTCCCAGAGAGCCACTGGGTAGTTTCGAATTGCCAACCTTTCACTTAGCATCCAAGTACTTAACCATTGGATCACCAGGGCTCCTTTCCAGCAGTGTAGGGTATACCAAATTAATGTATTCAGAAGGAAAATGAGTCTTTAAGTTTCTTATCCCTCTGAAACATAATGCCCACAGAATTTCTTATTACATTTATTTACTGTGTCTATTATTGTAAAACATTGTAGCAATAATAAAGACAACAAAAACTTGTTGAATGCTTACTATGTTAGGCACTATGCCAAGGGCATTCTTCTGCTTATAAATCTATTAAGAAGACCCCATTTTATAGATGAAAACAAAGATATGAGTGGTAACTAGCCCAGGCATATAGGAAATTGAGCCATAGCTCAAACCCAGGTTAAGTGACACTTCCAGAGACGAGTTTTTAAACTTAACTCTTTCATAAATCCTACTCTGCCACTATACCTGTTTCAATTCAGGACTCACAGTGGGAAATTTCACTAGCTGTATCATACTTCATTCTTTATTGTTATTATGGAACCTTAGTACTGTGTTTTTTATTTGTTGGTCATGCTAAAATTACCTTATGGTTGATCCCACAAGTGGGATTATTGAATGCCATGTTGCTCTCCTGGAAATGGTCATCTTTGAACCAGCAATGTGAGTTTATTGTTTTCATTATAACTTTACCATCATTGGGTTTTGCTAATTTAATATACATAAGATGGTAACTTTATTTTGCATTCCTTTGTATATGAGTGAAAGAACGTGCCTGTGTGTTTGACTTTGTGTCCCTTTTGCCAGGAGGCAGTGGTGAAGGGGAGGACATGCATGCTCTACCATAGACTGGGCTGGTCACTTAGTTCTGTTGCCATGGGCAAGTTATTTTAGCCTCCTGCCAATTAAAGATGCCCATTTTAAAGAGTTGTAGGATGCCTGCCACAAAGCCTGGGGTGCTCTATAAAAATTGGCCCAGTTCTTTGTGAGGTAGAGACGGTAACATATAATGAGAAGGCTGTTAAAGAACATGGAGGTTGGTGAAGCTGTAATTTTGTTAGTCTCAACTCTCTTGTAACCTAAGTCTTTACTAGCTGTTTTTAACCTCTTGTTAGGTGTCCTTTGGCCTCCTTTATGGAATACACGAGCCACATGTGTTGAAAGTGAATGCTAAAACTCATTCTAGATCATCCTGGCCACCTTTCAGAGAGCCCATAGAGTTCATGTGAAGTACAGTGGAGACGTAAAGTAGCTAGGATGGCACATCCAGGAGTCTTCTTGTTAGTTGCCATTGCGTTGATAACAACTCATGGCAACCACATGTGTGCAGAGTAGAACTGCTCCATAGGGTTTTCAAGGCTGTGACCTTTCAGGAGCAGATCGCCAGAACTTACTTTTGAGGCACCTCTGGATGGGTTTGAACTATCAACCTATCAGCTAGTAGTTGAGCACTTAACCATTTGCACCACCCAGGGACTCCTCCAAGAGTTCCACAGAGCTATTTATGTCCAGATGGTGATGCCCTTTTCCAAAATATGTGTTAAGGATTAACAGCTGCCATCAAGTCTATTTCAACTCATGACAATTCCATGTGTATCAGAGCAGAACTGTTCTCCATAGGGTTTTCAATGGCTCATTTTTCAGAACTAGATTGCCGTGCCTTTCTTCCGAGATGCCTTCTCTAGGTGGACTCAAACCACCAAACTTTTGGTTAGCAGCCAAGCTTGTTAACCATTTGCACCATCCAGGGACTCCAAAATTAAAATTTTTCTTTAATGCAAATAGCCAGTGTTGGCAAGAGTACAGTGGAACAGACACTTGAACATTGCTGGTGCGATGTAAAATGCAGTGTTATTTATAAATGCATGTATTAGGGAGATGCATGTATTAGGGAAATGACAAGGCCAACAATATTGGTTAAATATCCAATAATGTTAAAGATCTTGACTAAGAAAGCAAATGGCAAGGGGG